GAGAGAGAGAGAGAGAGAGAGAGAGAGAGAGAGAGAGAGAGAGAGAGAGAGAGAGAGAGAGAGAGAGAGAGAGATTAGAATGGGCAGGTAACAGTCTAATGCCTTCCCCATCAGAGAAAAAATACCGATCGCAAATCTCTCTCTCGGTATCTGGGAAATATATGCATCTAGACGCTGAAGGCATACTCGCTAGTAGGACTTCGTACAATGTATCTGATAGGAATTGCGGCTAGGTTCCGTCCAAACAAATATATATAACTTGTGTGCCCCAAATTGGTCTCCCAGAAAAACGAAATGGAAAAGAACCCCGCAAACTTGTCACCTTTGAACCATAAGTAGCCTCGCATGGTGTATATCAAGTTTTGTGTAGGTCCTGATAATCCCCCCCTCCCAGAAACCTGGCCCCAGCGTCTAAGGCTGTGGGCCCAGCTTCCAAGTCCGTAGGTCTAGTTCCCTAGGCTGTGGGCTGAGCCTGTGGGCCCAGTTCCCGACGCTGTGGGCCCAATTCCAAGGCTGTGGGCCCAGTTCCCGAGGTTGTGCGCCAAGATCCCGAGTCTGTGAGCCCGGGTCTCAAGGCTCTGTACTCAGCGTCCGAGGCTCTGGGCCCACATCCCAACGCTGTGGGCCCAGTTCCCAACACTATGGTCCCAGTTCCCGAGGCTGTGGGCCCAGTTCCCAAGGCTGCTGGGTCCAGTTCCCGAGGCTTTGGGCCCAGATCCCGAGGCTGTGGGCCCAGTTCCCAACACTGTGGTCCCAGTTCCCAATGCTGCTGAGTCCAGTTCCCGAGGCTTTGGGCCCAGATCCCAGGCTGCTGGGCCCAGTTCCCGAGGCTGGGGCCCAGTTCCCGAGGCTGTGGGCCTAGTTCCCAAGGCTGCTGGGCCCCAAGGCAGTTCTGTAGATGTTGTAGTGTCCGGGCAAGGCTACGGGGCGAATGCCTCAAAGCTGAAGTCTTGAGGGCACACTCACATAAGGACTTTGATTGGCCGAATCTGGCCGGCATTACGGGAAGATACAACCGGAAAAGTTATAGTGTGAAAATGCCCTGTTAAACCCTGGTTAATCCCCAAACAATATGGCTTGTGAGAAACAAGCAATTAAAGAATAATAAAGAAAACCGGAAACCCCAGAACAACATGGTCGAAATGATGCTGTTCTAGAGTCTGTTTTTTTTTAACATCGAACGCATCAAAAAACAAAATTGCTCTCTATGAGTCGTTTAGAATGGAAATATACGTGCAGGGAAAAAATAAGGACAGGCTCACACTACCGGACTTCACTGGCCGCACCTGACCATGAACACGGCCAGATTAGTTACAAAAGGCCTACTAGAACGTATCGCCATTTTCGCTGCATCTGGACTGAAAGTTGGACCAGATACGGATATAATGACCGTACGCTCTATTCGGGGGAAGACAGCAGCGCCGGTCTAATCGATGGTTTCTGGAATCTCATAGTTTACCATTTGCCGGCAGACGTGAGAAAACCAGGCGTCCCCTCATAACGGAGAGCCCAGCAGAACCACCCACACACACACACACACCTGTCTCTTATACACATCTAGATGTGTATAAGAGACAGCCCAGTTCGCGGCTCCGCCCATCCGTCGGACTGCTGCTAGGGCTAATGGTACGTACGTCAAGCGTTCGCATTTATCGGAACGGTACCGTCGGCTCCGCCGCGCGGTCGACTTGCGGAGACCCGCTGGCTAGCGGAGCTGGCCTGGTTCGCCGCCCAACAGGGGGGAGCGGGCCAGACGCGCCGCCGGAGCCGCTGACACGTGGCGGGAACTGTTTTGGGAACATGAATCGGCTAATCAAGCATTGGAAAGGCCTGATTTTACTTGTTGTGTTTTTAATCTGTGTCTCAATCATCTCAACGAGCCTTCTATACGATCTCTTTGAGGGCGATGACGCAGATGGGCAGTCTTTGGACACGTGGAGGTTTCTGTTCGGGAAAAGGAGAGGAGGAGGAGGAGGAGGAGGAGGAGGATGGGAAGAGGAAGGGGAAGAGGGGGGATGGGGAGGAGAAGGAGGGACGTGGGAAACGGAATCGTTATTTGCCAGGATGTGGTCGGGGAGATGGGGCGACGGCGCCGGCCGCGGCGGGGGCATAAGTCGCAAGAAATGGAAGAATAAGGTTAAGGGGTTTCGAGATATGCAGAGGGCGTTCGCGGACTGGGATGATGCCGTTGGATGTAAGAGATTCAGAGAGCGCCATTTGAGGAATGCGGTACTGTGTGATAGTCGAGCGATGCAGAAGCCGGACCGTATCGCGTGTGAAAGCATGAAGAAACGCCACGTGGTCGTTCGGGTAAGATGTGGACTCATCGCGATTCCGATGTTCGTCATTATGCTCATCTTTGATTGCTCGCGTAGATCAATCAATTGCTCACATAGATATGATGAAGATCGTGTGCCTTTAGCTGGGTGCGTGGGGGGGGCACACACACAGAGACAGGCACAGAGAGAGAGAGAGAGAGAGAGAGAGAGAGAGAGAGAGAGAGATTGAAAACA